TGCTTAAGAAAAACTTGTTGAGTTCCGCTCAGCCCGGCTCAGCCTGGCTTAGTTAATTGAGTTAAGGCGATCTGAGTCGTACTGAATGCACCAGCTGGCTGGCCTGGAGAAGATCCAAGCTGAAGATGTTAAGAATCACACTAATTCAATAAGCGGCTGCAAGGTAGTCTAATGAGACCGTGTGCCTTTCCTTACCCGACGTACCTGTGATCGGCTGGCGCCTTAGGAGCCATGTCCACTTGGTAATATGATCGTTTTCTCCCCGTAATCCCCTGTGTGTGTTTGCTGCAGATGCCAGGGAAAAGGGGCAAGTCAAAGAAAAATGCAGACTCAGCTGGAAGCCCCCAGGCAGTGGAAGGCAGGGCCTGAAGGAAACAGAGGACTTTCTGTCTGTCCGTGCATAGGTGCTGCCAACAACCTACATCTTCCGCATCCAAAGTTTTCCTGGTGCGTCCAGCGTAGTAGCAACGTACCGTAGCATCTAGCTCATTCTCTTGACTCTGATTGTCTGGGTTTGAACCTGGCTGATGGATCTGAGACAAATTCATTCATGTTTCTGCACCTTTGGGTTTTTTTGCAGCTATAAAATGAAAAGAATTCTAGTATCTATGGTATGGGGTTGTTGGGAAGATTGAATGAAATGATAAAAGTCAAGCACTTAGCACACAGTTCCGGGAATGCTGGAAGTGCTCAGAAAGGTTAGTTATGAGGATTAGCACTGATCAGTGCAGCAGAAAGCTGTGTTTGAAATACATGGCAAGGCCTGGCGCACAGATACCAGCTTTCCAGACAGTCAGAGGACAGAACAGTGTTTGTAAACACCTTCCTGAAGGGAAGCACATGGCTTGCTCATGTAAGTTCTCCTGGAATGGTGATGTAAGCTCCCAGGACCAGGAGGGAGTAACAGGAATTGGGCTGTTTTTCTCCATTCTGGCAGGATCCTACCTACGGGAGTCCCCGTAGGCTGCCTGCCCTGTGGGCAAGGAACCCAGAAACTAGAAAAAAAAAAAAAAGCTGCTCAAAGGTATCCTCTTCCTTCTCTTCTCTGGGAAGCGGCTCCTCTTGCATGATGAGGTCTGCATCCTCGGCCAATAAATCAGAAGCCCAACAATCTTGACCCTATCTGCAGGGTTGCGACTGCAAAGGGCAAGAGATGGGCATCGGGAGGTGTGGTTTCTCAGAGGCACTTGGCACTCATTTGACGCCTTGTCCATTTCCTGCCTCTTTCTGAGCTATTGTTCCTTCATTGAGGGTAAGTAGACATAGATTCCAGAAAAAATGCTGATTGCAAGTTAAAAAAATCTGGGGTGACCTTTGTTTAAATAAACGTGTACAAGGAAACTGAATCTACAAGGAGACACAAGAACTGCTGGGTGGTTGAAATAGAGGTGGGGAATCCCACAGTCACAGGTCACCCAGCCACCTGCTTTCCTCCACCGGATTCCTCCCTCCAGCACATTTTGAAAACTACCGACTAGACTGAATTCCTGTAGCAGGGGTGGGGATGGAGGCCTGGGGCAGGAGAGAGCATGAAGGAGGGAGGTGGTCCCGGTGGTGGTCTCCAGCAGGATGAAGATGCAGAGGAGAGCTGCCATACAGGTCTGCCTGCCCGTTAGTGACTGTGTGACCAGGAGCTTAGGACATCAGGTCTTCCTGTCGATTCCTCCTTCTTCTGGTAAGAGCACACCAGTTCTCTTTGGGGGAACCACTCACTCTTACTCTGTCCAGGTGGTCTGGCCGGGCTTCAGCAGTGATTGGAACCTGGGCACTTAGATGAGTCCATCCCTGTTGCCAGAGTCACTGGCCCAGCAATGGGCAGCTGAATCTATCAGAGCACACTAAACCTAACCCTGGGATTCTTATGGAGGCAACCAGGAAAAAGGCTGGATTTGACTCTGGAAAGATGTAAAACAGGTGGAGTGAGCCAATCTAAACATGAAACCAGTACAGGGAAAAGCAGAGCCAAAAAGCTAGAAAGAGGTAAATTCCTAAAGACTTAATCGAGGGCCTGGATCCAGCCATGCCTGAAGCTTATCCAGTCTTTTCTTCTCAAATAATCCAACATACATTTACCATCTGGTTTAAGTTCATCTAAGTCGGGATTTTGTCACTTTCCAACTGAAACCTCATGACTAATACACATGGGCAGTTTATTTCACCTCTTTCAGTTTCCATTTTCTCATTTACTGAGTGTCTCCAAAAATCTATATAAACTTTACCTTTAAGCAGATCTGTACATATAAACACATACATCACAGCAGCAAAAAGATAGTATCAACAGTGTAAGTATTTTGCATATTTGTTAGTTCTAAAGAAGGCAAAACAAGGATTGGTTAATATCAGTTCACTTTCCTTTCTAAGTGAGAGTGGAGGGGGAATAAAAGTTACATCAATGTCCACTACCAATGGAAATGGAGAAAACAGGAGGAGGCCACATGCTGAGCAGAAAATGGGGAGGGGTCTGACGGCAGCTGAGGCTCCCACAGTTCTGCAGATGGGGGCTGAGCCCGAGGGAAGCCCCTCAGCCCCTATAAGCCCCCAGGTTCTTGAGGCCAGGGAAAACTAGAGGGACAATTGAAATAGATCTGTCTTAGGCAAAGAAGGTTCCCAGGCCCAGATCCTATAAATGTGAGTCATGCCCCAAACAAGCCATTGCAGCTCATGGCCATGGCCAACTTCATGCATGGGGCCAGGTTTTCCCTGGACAAACGAACTGGCCTTTTGTGGCCAAGAGAGCTGTTCCCAGGGATTGCCTTCTTGGAATGCCACTGTGGTCTGCTCGGGAACCCTTGAAATCGAAAGCCCTGAGCTCTCCTTGTCACAGCCGTCACACATAAATACCACCAGGGGGGATTTCCCACGGAATTTTTTGCAACCACTCAAATGTTTCATTTCCCATTGTTTGCCAGTCCCTCTCGGAGCCTCAACTGTCAAAGCAGCCACAAACACAGGCTGCTTTTCCCCCAGGATCCCATGGCGCTCGCTCTTGCGTCCCCTCCATGTTGGGAAGCCGGTGTTGGCAGGATATCATCAGCTCGGCCCGGGAATAAGGTCTGTTAGTCAACTAGTGAAGCAAGTCAGTGGAGGGAATACCCTGCCCTGCTTGCTGGGGAGGCACAGCTCTGTGCTATCACCCTAGTCATTATTATCATCACGGTGACAAATAATTCCATTTATACAAAGAAATCCCTTCCACACGTCTGAAGCACTTGACCAAAAAATACACAATGCAGCATTAATGTTTCACTTTTAGAATATGAAATTGGTTGGGTGCAGTGGCTCACTCAGGTGCAGTGATCAAATGCCAGTAATCCCAGCACTTTGGGAGGCTGAGGCAGGTGGATCACTTGAGGCCAGGAGTTCAAGACCAGCCTGGCCAACGTGGTGAAACTCCGTCCCCTATTAAAAATACAAAAATTAGCCTGGGTGTGGTGGTGCAAGCCTGTAGTCCCAGCTACTTGGGAGGCTGAGGCATGAGTGAGAATCACTTGAACCCCAGAGGCAGAGGTTGCAGTGAGTTGAGATCACACAACTGCACTCCAGCCTGGGTGACAGAATGAGACTTTGTCTCAAAAACATATATATATATATATATATATATATAAACTTGAATCACTTTTTTTCTTGATTCCAGGTGCTTTAATGGAATTCTAAGTTATAGTCCATACATCAGTGCTGAGAAAAGATGATCCACGTCAGCTGAGAATTGATTGACTGATTGAAAAGCACTTATTTTGAAGCAGCCATTGCCCTGTGCGTTTTGGAGACCCAAATATGAAAAAGGCATAGCTGCCTGTGCCTAGGAGCCGATGGTCTAGAGAAAGGCAGAGATTACAAGTCACCATGGGATGCCAGAGCGACTGGGAGTTTATTCCGGGGATGTTGATCTGAGGGGTGAACAGGAGTCACCGGGCAGGTACACAAGTGGCCTATCACCAGTTCACACGATCTGAGTACATGTAGGATGAATGAACCCAGGCAAGTCTGGGTGCACGTGGCACAGCCTGACCCTGTGGGGATGAGAAATAGTAAGATGTCTTTTAAATATCCATTCACTAGGGCCCACCCACTGTACGACAGAGGCTGCCCTGGTACGGAGTTTGGCCATGTAGTCATTCATTCATTCATCCATTAAGCCACAAATATTTTCTGACCACTTGTGATGTGCCAAGGAAGTCTAGGTGCTGGGGAGGCAGAGGTGACCAAAATCAATCTGGTATCTTCCCTTTTGGAGCTTCCATACTGGCTGAGCAGAGGGTCATTAAACAAACACACATATCAAATAATAAATATACAATCTAAGCCGGGCACGGTGACTCACACCTGTAATCCCAGCACTTTGGGAGGCTAAGGTGGGTGATCGCTTGAGGTCAGGAGTTTGAGACCAGCCTGGCCAACATGATGAAACCCTGTCTCTACCAAAAATTCAAAAATTAGACAGGTGTGGTGGTGTATGCCTGTAATCCCAGCTACTCAGGAGACTGAGGCAGGAGAATCGCTTGAACCCAGGAGGTGGAGGTTGTAGTGAGCCAAGATCACACCACTGGACTCCATCCTGGGCAACAGAGCAAGACTCCATCTCAAAAAAAAAAAAAAAAAAAGAAATATACAATGCAACAAAAGACAACCTAATTCACATAAGAGCATCTGCCTGCCCCTCAGTTCCTGAGCTACCAATTGACACAAAGTGTTGTGGGGGTACCAATTTGGGTCAATATTTGTGTAGCAGAATTCTGGGGACCAACCAGAACTCCTGAAAAAGGATGCCACTCAGCAGTGATGCCACTCATCACTATACCGTTTACTTGGCATTTAAAAAAATATAATATCTGTGGACATCTTGGGTCCTGCCGGCAAGCCTGGGGAGGCAGTTTAGGAGTTATTTTCTTTACGTCTCAGGGGAGGAATCCGAAGCTTAGAGAGGAGGAGGGACTTACCGGCCTGAGGTCACACAGCTAGAAAGGCCAAGATTGCTGTGTCTTTTTTTTTTTTTTTCTTTCCACAAAAAGAACAGTGGAGCAAGGTGGCCATTTTATTTTTTCAAAGTCACATTACCTGCTGGTACAGGGGACATAAAAGTGCAAAATCCCACCAGGAAGGGAAAAAAAACAGTCTTGAGACAGCCATGTCCCAGAGGTGAAGATTTGAGGAGATTTTAATATAGGGTGTGAATTCCAATTCACATCTCTTCCAACGGGACCAATTTCTGAAGTCCAGGGAACTAACATTCATCAACACCTCTGACATCCCAGAGATCCCAATATTCCTGCCAAGGGCTATTAAAATTCCCATTTCCCAGATGAAGAGATTGAGTCCCTGCTGCATACAACTAGACAGTAGCAGAACCAGCATTTGAACTCTGATGCACTCTGATTCCGGGACCTGTGGAGCTCCAGGTACCTAGAGCTGGCTCCCTACTGGGGCCTTGGAGTCTGGGGAGCTGGATGCTAGGAGAGGCTGCGGAGGTAGGGCCCAGGGGCTGAGTTTGCAGCGGCTGCCCGGGAATGCAGCCCTTACACACCCACTTTTTAACACGGTGGCATCCCTGACAGACACCCTTGTCCTTTTCCTGTGCTGGCCTTCGTAACACAATAAATAAAGCCTTAGAGTAACGTGACCTGAGCCAGGCAGTAAATGATGGCACTGTCAGTTGTACACGACAGTTGAAACAAACACAGACTGTAATCATAGTGCTGTACGGGGAGAAAGACATTTGGCAAATGAGATTCCATTTTCACATTGGTTTGTGCTGAGCATATAAATTTCCTGCGGGCCGGCCAGCGTTGGGGATGTGTAATTGATTGCCTGCATTATAATAAACAAGCTGTGACAGGTGATCATTCATCATATTCCGCTGAACGTTCCAGCACACCAGAAAACGGAGGAAGAGAGGGAACGCGCGAGCCAGGAGAGAAGAGAGGAGGAACCTGGGGGAGGGGAGGGGGTCGCAAAGACCGAGTATTCCCGACAGACAGAAAAGCCAGGGGAGGGCAGGGGAGGGAATCCGCTGAGCGGGCTGGGGAAAGTGAAAGCAATTACTATAATTCTTTTGATTATCTAATTTGTTCTTTCTGGCCTTCGTTATATGACCCTCCCCCCCACCCCACTCCAACATAGAAGGTCCCCCACGGGGACCTGGGAAGGCACAGAGAACGCTCCCTCCCCGATCGAGGGGAGGAAGGGGGAAGGCAGGTGGGGGAGGGGCCCCGTCTAGTTGTAACCGGAGTAGATACATTCGGGAAAACCTGGGGGGAGGGGGAGGAGGAGGAGGAGGAGGAGGAGGAGGAGGAGGAGGGGAGGTGTATGTGCAGGACTTAGCTTTGCTCTTGCACTGAGATGCCTCCAGTCAGATGGATAGGAACCAGCCTCTTTAAATACATTTTTTTAAAGGGTGTCTGAAAAACAAGTGAAAAGTTCCTTTATTGGAGAAAAAGGACAGCATCCAAGTTGGCATCAGATGTGGTTCCACAAGCCTGTCATATGGTGCTCTCATTCCTCCCCCGCGCTCCCCCCGCCCCGCCCCAGCTCCCACCTCCCCGCCCCCACCCCAGCCCCAGCCTCTCTGTCTCACTCTCTCTCTGTGCCCTTGGCCCGGGGCTGGGGGTCGAACAGGAGCTGCTGGGAAGCACCCTCCTCTCCAGGAGCTCCCACCTAGACAGACACAAGGCGGAGGTACACTGGCATATGAAGGGCAGAAAGACAAATGCAGAGCTCTCGAGCCAGCACACGCATTAAATAAGTACTTACATTATGCAAAAGCCAAGGCCCTCAACAAGGGGGTGAATGAAGAAGGGGGACAAGCAGGGCTGCGTCTCAGACTAGTTTCCCCGGTTCTCACTCTGCCAATTTCCAACCCCCGCCTCCCTACCCCGCAAGCATCCTCCCATTCCCTCCCAGATACCAAGCGCTAAGCTCAGGTGGGAGCCTCGGACCCAGAAGGCTGGGCGCTGGGGGGGGCGTGGCCTGCGCCAACATCGGGGGCGGGGCCTGGGTGGGGCTTATCGGGGGCGGGGCCCACTTGGGAGGGGGCGGGGCGAACACAGAAGAAAGAGCCTTCGGGGCTACTTTGCTACTCCTCGCACGCTGCTTCCCAGAGTCTTCTGCTATTTCATCGTAGCCTTAACAACTGGAATCTGTCGCCTTCGAGATGCTCCTAAAGTCACTGCTTTGGGAGAATCTGTTCAAGGGACCTGCTTTCTAAAAGCAATGACATCAGCCCAGCAACGTGATCTGTGTTGTCCTTGAAGGATTAACAGCTCTTTTGAGTCTCCCAAGAATCCTGGGAGGTAGCTAGGGCGGGTGCTGTTGTCCTCATCTCCACACAACGACCTGCGAAGTGCATGTCAGGGCCTTGATTTTACAGGGGAAGAAACTGAAGCACAAAGAAACGAAGTTACTGTCTCGAGATCTGGCAACAAAAAAGTCAATTTGAAGCCAGGGGTCTTCTGACATGTTCTTCAGCATCCCCAAGAGAACGTGTACTTTCTCCCTCAAACACTCCCCTCCCATCCATAAGTGCACACAGGTACTGAGTAGGAGGGGCAGGGTTGAGTCTATACTGAACGATTGTGCATCCAGACCCTCACTAAGCCCTCCTGGTTTTGCCTGACACACGTGGCTCACATCTCTCCACTTCTCTCCACTCCCACAGTGTGCCCCCAGTCCAGGCCTCCTGCATCTCTCTCCTGAACCACTGTCCTCACCTCATCACTGGCCTTCCTCTTAATGTTGTTCCCATTCCCATCCGCTCCCCACCAGCAGCCATAATCACCGATGATGGTCCATCCATACCCTGCATCAACTGTCTCTCTAGCACTTTTTTTTTTTTTTTTAAAGACATGATTTCCTTCTGTCACCCAGACTGGAGTGAAGTGGTGTGATCATAGCTCACTGTAGGCTCGAAGTCCCGGACACAAGCAATCCTTCTGCCTTAGCTTCTTGAGTAGCTGGGCCCACAAGTGCTTGCCCCCATGCCCAGCTAATTTTTATTTTTGTAGAAATCAAATCTCATTATGTTGCCGAGGCTAGTCTTGAACTCCTGGCCTCAAGCCATCCTCTTGGCTCAGCTTCCCCAACTGCTGAGATTTACGAGTGTGAGCTACCACCATCTTTTTTCTTTCTTTCTTTCTTTCTTTCTTTCTTCTTTTTTTTTTTTTTTTTTTTTTTTTGAGATGGAGTTTTGCTCTGTCATCCAGGTTGCAGTGACACAATCTCGGCTCACTGCCACCTCCATCTCCCAGGTTCGAGTGATTTTCTTGCCTCAGCCTCCTGATGGGATTACAGGTGTCTGCCATCACGCCTGGCTAATTTTAGTTGAGACAGTGTTTCACCATGTTGCCCAGGCTGGTCTTGAACTCCTGACCTCAGGTGATCCACCCACCTCAGCCTCTCAGAGTTCTGGGATTACAGGCATGAGCCACTGTGCTTGGTCAGGTCCAGAAGTTTTCCATCACCCCAAATAGAAACTCAGTATCCATGAGCAGTCGCTTCCCATTCTGCCTTCCCCCTGGCCCCTGACAATCTGCTCTCTGTCCCAATAGATCGCCTATTCTGGATATTTCATGTAAGTGGAATCCTACAATGTGTGACTTTTGTGTTGGGTTTCTCCCACTCAGCATCCTGTGTTCAAGGCTCATCCACGCTGTAGTGCCAGTCAGTGCTTCTTTCCTTTTTACGGCTCAGTGCTGTACCATTGCCTGGATGGACCACATTTTGTTCATCCATCCACTGGCTGGTGGCCATCTGGGTTGTTTCCACCTTTTGGCTATTGCAAACAGTGCTCTATGAACATTTGTGGGTAAGTTTTCATTTGAACATTTGAAATGACCTCAATTGATATCCCTGCCTCGGCCCAAAGTGCTGGGATTACAGGCCGGCCTGAATCTTTGTTTTCAATTGTTTGGGGTGCATACTTGGGAGCAGAACTGCTAGGTCATGTGGTAGCTCTGTGTTTAGCCTTTCAAGGAACCTCCACACTGTTTTCTGCAGTGACTGTCCCATTTTACATTCCCACCAGCAGCACCAGGGCTCCAATTTTGCACATCCTTGCAAATACACTTGTTATTTTCCATTTAAAACAATGTTTGCACCAGGCACAGTGGCTCATGCCTGTAATCCCAACACTTTGGGAGGCCGAAGTGGGTGGATCACCTGATGTCAGGAGTTCAAGACTAGCCTGGCCAACATGGCGAAATCCTGTCTCCCTGTCTCTACTAAAAATACAAAAATTAGCCGAGTGTGGTGGCACACACCTGTAATCCCAGCTACTCGGGAGGCTGAGGCAGGAGAATTGTTTGAACCAGGAGGTGGAGGTTGCAGTGAGCTGAAATCACATCACTGCACTCCAGCCTGGATGACAAAGCAACACTCCATAAAATAAAAAAAAATAAAAAAAAAATAAAAAAATCTGGCATGGCACAGTGGCTCATGTCTGTAATCCTAGCACTTTGGGAGGCCAAGGTGGGTAGATTGCTGGGGCTCAGGAGTTCAAGACCAGCCTGGAAAAACAATGAAACACCGTCTTTACTAAAATACAAAACATTAGCTAGGTGTGGTGGCACATACCTGAAATCCCAGCTACTCGGGAGGCTGATGCAGGAGAATTGCTTGAACCTAGGAGGCGGAGGTTGCAGTGAGCCGAGATCGCACCATTGCACTCCAGCCTGGTGATAGAAGGAGACTTCCCTGTCTCAAAAAAAAAAAAAAAAAAAAAGTTTGCCATCCCAGTGGGTGCACCTATCTCCACCATTTAGACTAGATGGGGTGTGTTCAGGGTGGTATGGCCATAGAGCAGCTCTATCTTGTATTTCTCTTCCCTTCCTTCTTACTCCGCTGGGCTTTCATGTCCCCAGATTGCCCCGTCTTACCATGGACTCGGCATATGCAGCACCTTCCTCCTTCCCATCCTCCTGCTGGGTTCTGCCCACTCGTACTTCAAGGCTACATCAGACCCCCTTCTGACAAGGGTCTGTCCTGCGGCCTTCCTTTCACAGCTCCCAATTTGGTTGCAATTTTACATTTCCTTTTGCAATCACTGATTAATGTCCACCTTCTTGATCTGACTACAGCCTTCCCCTAGGAAGGGACCGTCCTGCTTTTGCCACCCACTGTATCTCCAGCACTTAGCACAGTCCCTGGTAAAGACTTTAGGAAGAGCAGTGGCCCAATCATAGCTACTCCAGGGCCAATGGCATCCTCCTGCCTGAGCCTCCCAAGTAGCTGGAACTACAGGAACACACAACCATGCCCAGCTAATTTATTTTTATTTTTTGTAGAGATGGAGTCTCACTTTGTTGCCCAGACTGGTCTGATACTCCTAACCTCAAGCAATCCTCCTACCTCAACCTCCCAAAGCACTGGGATTACAGGCCTGAGCCACTACACCCGGCCCCAGTTCTAAGATGTTAACCACATGTAAGCCTTCAGGAGAATCTCAGGCCCTGGCCCACTTCAGTAAATATTTGGTGAATGAATGCATAAGCAATGAATGAGATCCAAGTGTGGATCCCATGACCTTATGAATCGTCCTTTTCTTTTTTTCACTGATCAGTGGCACTAGCAGGCCTCAACAAGTTAGGAACTAAAAAACCTGCTTTGGGCTGGGCGCAGTAGCTCACGCCTATAATCGTAGCACTTTGGAAGGCTAAGGTGGGTGGATGGGTCACCTGAGGTCAAGAGTTCAAGACTAGCCTGGCCAACATGGTGAAACTTCATCTCTACTCAAAATACAAAAATTAGCCAGGTATGGTGGTGGGCACCTGTAATCCCAGCTACTCTGGAGGCTGAGGCACGAAAATTACTTGAACCTAGGAGGCAGTGAGCCAAGATCACGCCACTGCACTGCACTCCAGCCTGGGAGAGAAAAAAAAAAAAAATCTGTCTTAAAAAAAGAAAAAAAATCTGCTTTAGCCGTAAGGAATTTGGAAACGGATGGCATTCTAGTTGTAGAATTAATACTCACTAATGTTTCCCTCCAGAGCCAGGGTGAATCTGGCTCCGGATTCTGAGACTTGCATGGGGATTGTGTTGATGCTGCCTTGCAATGGTGCTGAAGCACCAGGAACCTTGAAATATACTTGCTTGGTGTAAACATGACCTCAGCATGACAGGATGATCCCTGTGTTTGCCAAGCCATTAATTTTTATGTAATAACTGCGACCACAACAAACTGCATTTCCCCTACATTTTGAGTAGTTCTTAAGGTCAGGTTTGTGGGACTGTGTGAGACAAAAACCTTATAAACTAGAATGTAGCAGTGGGTTTTCTGTGTTTACAGACCTGCTCCTACACATGGCTCCAAAGGGCCGAAGGTAGAGGATTAAAACTTCATGCAGCTACTTTTCTTCCAAGGAATGAACTCCAAATGCTTCCGACCATCTTTATCTTGCAAAGTCATGAGCGGTCAGATGTCCATGCCAAAGACAGGGAAACAGAGGCCGGGAGCTACGATGTGACTTTGACAGGGCCCCCCCTGCTAAGGAAGCCACAGGCTCTGATGAGAAGCCCCTCCCACCTATCTTTCTAGCCCATGCACTCTCCATTAGCCTGATTAAAGCAATTGATTTATTCATTCCTAGTGGTTGAGAGGGAAAAAAAAAAAAAGAAAAGAAACCAACATGCCATTTGTGTGATATAAATATCTCTGGAAAAAGCTAAAAAACATTGTGTCATACATATTTTCTCAATACCACAGTCAATCACACGTGTCTGCCCAAGTGTGTAGTCCATCAGCCCAGGAGTGCAGGGTGGGGGAAGTTTGAGGGTGGGGGTAATGGAGGGGACACACTCAGCAGAGACTCAGCTCCAGAATCCTCAGCCCCTGCATCACAAATGTTGCCATGGACTAAATCTATGCTGGCTGTTTATTTTCCATTGCCTATTGCCTTTGAAGAACCTTCTAGAAGTCTTAGAAACTTGACATTGGGCAGGAAAGTGATAAGCAG